TTTTTAAAGATTTTATTTATTTGACAGAGAGAGAGAGACAGCGAGAGAGGGAAAACAAGCAGGGGGAATGGGAGAGGGAGAAGCAGGCTTCCCCCTGAGCGGGGAGCCCGATGTGGGACTCTTATCTAAGGACCCTGGGATTGTGACCTGAGTCAAAGGCAGATGCCCAATGGCTGAGCCACCCAGGTGCCCCTTATTTTTATTTTTTAAAGATTTTATTTATTTGAGAGAGAGGGAGGGAGAGAGAGGGAGAGAGAGCGTGCACACAAGCAGGGGGGAGGGGCAGAGGGAGAAGGAGAGGCAGGCTTCTCACTGAGCAGAGAGCCGAATATGGGACTTGATCCCAGGACCCTGAGATCATGACTAGAGCTGAAGGCAGATGCTTAACCAGCTGAGTCACCCAGACGCCCCTTGACTTTAAGTATAGTTGACACAAGGTTACATTAGTTTCAGATGTACAAGATAGTGATTCAACAACTCTGTATATTTTGCTATGCTCATAAGTGTATACATTGATTAATTTTTGGATTTTAGCATAATTGTGCATTCTTGATATAAATCACACTGAAAGATGTATTGTCCTTTTTTTTTTTTTAAGATTTTATTTATTTATTTGACAGAGAGAGAGAGAGAGAAAGAGCACGAATGGGGTGAGGGGCAGAGGGAGAAGCAGACTCCACTGAGCAGGGAGCCCGATGCCGGGCTCAATCCTGGGACTCCGGGATCATGACCTGGGCTAAGGCAGATGTTTAACTGACTGAGCCACCCAGGCGCCCCTGTATTATCCTCTCAATATACTATTTGATTCAACTTACTAATGTTTAGTTTAGAATTTTTACATCTGTGTTCATGAGGGATATTAATCTATAATTTTATTTCTTTTTGAAAAAAGATTTATTTGAGAGAGAGAGAGTATGTGGGGGGGGCAGGGGCCTGGGGGCAGAGAGAGAGAAAGAATCTTAAGCAGATTCCCTGCTGAGCGTGGAGCCTGATGTGGGGCTCGTTCGTTCTAAGGACCCTGAGATCATGACCTGAGCTGAAATCAAGAGTGGGATGCTTAACCATCTGAGCCACCCAGGCGCCCCTTGTTTTATTTTTATTTTTCTTATGCTTGGGGTTTGTTAAGATTTTTTGACCTGTAGTTTATAATTTTCATCCAATTTGTAAATATTTTGGTCATTATTTTTTCAAAATTTTTTTTCTCTCTTTGTAGCTGTCTCCTGTCTGACACTCTGCCCTGTGAACTTTTAATACTTTAGC